TATCATATAACAATATCCATAAGGTACTTATAACGCGTTATACATAAACAACAAACCCTGATACTATCATAGATATACAATAGTGTAGGTACTTAAGAAATTTCAAATACCAAGTTTTAAATAATATTATACAAACACAACAAAATAACTAAAATAGTTATTCTAGGTTTATTATTATGCAATTTCGTCCAAATTTGAACTGTATATCTATAACATCTATATCTGTGTATATAATGACTATGAAAATAAACTTTGCTTATGTATGGTTTAGATTTTTTGGTAACTGAATACACTACTTACGTGGAATCTTGTTTTAAAATTTTCAATCCTTAGATATAAAAATTAAACATTTTATAAATTATTGAATACAAAAGAATTATTAAATTTTAAATATGATAAATTTTTATAAAAATATAACTTTTAATAGAGTACAAGAATTTTTACTCAACAAATAATGTTTTATTGCCATTCATAGAAAAAAAAACTAATAAAATTGGAAACTGAAAATGTAACGAAACATTTCAAAACATATCAAAAAATTTTGAAAATTTTATCATGTATAATAAATGTAAATGTATAAATTCAATTTTTTCTTCATTTTTCTTTTTTTTTTAATGCGCTTTTTTAAATTCCTTGGAAGCAGCCTCTTAAATATGATTAAGTCTGTAATAACTTTACTACATCTCCAAGGAATGAATCTAGTCTTCATTACTTGAAGCTGGTATATAAAATAGTAGGTTATCAATCCTAGACATTCAAAATATTTAATATCACTATCAACTAAAATTATTGTTACTGTTTTTGATTATGTTAATTAACATCATAACACTAGATGCTTAGATTTAAGGTATGTCATTACCTAAGAAAATATATGGTGTGGTCTCACAATTTAACATTCAATATTCAATGAGATGTGTAACGTCATAGATCCATAGTCCTTAGGGGAAGCGTATATTTTACGTGTAAAAGTATCTAGATTAAAACTAGATATAGATATACATCAATTTCAATAGTTAATAATTATAATATAAATAATATATAATATTATATAATTTTTATATATATAATATAAATATTGTTACAATTTACGGTGGCGTACGAAGGTAGGCCAATAGGCTGAAGTCCCCTCTCCCTTTTTCTGTATAGTTAATACTTAAAAAAAAATATTTATCAAGTTTCAACTGCCGACAACTAAAGTAAGCATGACGCAAATTCATATACGTTTAAAAGAATGAATTCATATTCAACCTAAATATTTCATATTTATAACATCCATTGACGTTTATGTTTAGAGCATTTATTAAAAAAAGTTGGGAAGTTGAAGTTATTCAAACATCTTCAAATCCCTCGCCTAAATGTTTGCAATTATTAGACTGCACAAAATCAAAATCAAACTGTAATTAGTTTTCAAGCCCCCCCCCCCTTATATTGAAAAATCCTACGCACGCCACTGATAATTTATAAATAATATATTTCTTGCAACCCATCGGCCATTGATGTTTAAAAAAATACTGTCATATTATAGGTATAATTTAACAATCAGATTGCTGTAATTGCGTGTAGTCGATTATTGTGACGTTGAAATTGCATAACAGTTGATTAGTGATGAGTCATCACTGATGACCGATGATAATATTTTATATTATAATATAATATATAATATATTATATGTTTTATATTCTTTACATTTAAAGAATATAAAATATAAAAGGTACCTACCTCAAGTTTAGAAAATTAAGCAACATATTTTATTCAATACGTGACGTACAATAGTTGACATTTTTTTTTAATGCGACATAATATAATACGATATTTAAAACTTTTTAAATGTAATACGTAATTACTACATCAATAATATTTTTTAATATTTTATTAAGTGAATAACACCAAAAAATGATAATAATATAATACAAAGATTATAATAATATAATTTAAAATTATTTAGTCACTACTTTATTTATTTGTTAACGGGCTGGGCCCTATTCAACAGTTTAACATAATACAATAATACATAATTTAAAATAATTAATACAATGACATAATTACATTTATATAAGATAATAATTACAGAATAATAATGATAATAATGATAATAAAACAATATAAAAATATATAATAATAAATGTATCAGTTTTGATAAACGGTGCTCTCATTGGCCAGCCGCATCATGCGGTCTAACGGATTATTTCTGCCATAATTGGTAGTGTGCGCAGGAACAACGAAGGGAGCATGGTATCTAGTAGCACGGGAAGGAACTCTGAAATTGACTATCGAGAGAAGTGAGGGAGCATCTATACGACCATCAATCAGTTTATTCAGAAACTCAATGTTAGCGTTAAATCGCCTGTCGGCCAGTGAAATGAGGCTGAGTTCCTGCATAACTAAGAAATAATCATGGGGAGGATGATTTATTTTTAAGACAAAAGCTGCGCAAGATAAGAACCGTCTCTGAACACGCTCTAATTGACATGAGTCAGATACCGTATAAGGGTCCCATAGGACCGATGCATACTCTAAAAGTGAACGGACCAATGAGCAGTATAAAGTTTTTAATGAAGAAGATAAATTGAACTCCTTTGATATGCGCATTACAAACCCAAGCGTTTTTAAGGCTTTGCAGCATATCATTTCAGTGTGGGAGTGAAAATTGAGATCGGAATTAAAGATAATACCTAGGTCTTTCTTACTACAAACCGATGTTACACTTGAACCATTGATGGAGTAAGTATAGTTAATAGGGGAGCGGTGTCTTAAAAATGACATGGAATGACATTTATTTACATTAAACTGAAGACCAATATTATTAAACCAGGAGACCAGGTTGTTGAGATCATTCTGGAGCGTAGAGCAGTCAGATAAGTTATCAATTTTCCTAAAGAGCTTCAAGTCGTCGGCGAACATGAGAAGTTCACAGTTTTTGACAATTTCCTTGATGCCATTTACATACAAAGAAAACAGTATTGGAGATAAATGTCCTCCTTGAGGAACTCCAGAAGAGACCTTTGAGATGGATGATTTGCATCCGAACACTTTCACCCATTGGACTCTGTCTGACAAATAAGATTTGAACCAAGACAACAATGGTTCACCGAACCCAGTTTTGTATAGGGTCTCGATTAGGCGGCCATGGTCGACTCTATCGAAGGCTTTAGTAAAGTCTGTGAAAATAACATCAACTTGGATGTGCTTCTCGACAGCCTTCATAACAAAATTGTTAAAAACGAGTAAATTAGTAGTGGTCGAGCGACCAGGCCTAAACCCATGTTGCTCGTCGATTAGAATAGAGTTAATTGGCGATTGAATACTTCTCAATACTAGAAGTTCAAACAGTTTGGATATGTGGCTCAAAATAGAAACAGGTCTATAATTTTTGACATCAGCTTTATCACCAGATTTAAAAATAGGAGTGACAGAGCTAATCTTGAAAGAAGAGGGAAAAACTCCACTTTCGATTGAACGCTTAAAAAGTAGCCACAGTGGAAAACATAATGAAGATTTCACATTGTATAAGAATATACCTGACAAGCCGTCGGGGCCTACGGACTTAACATTTTTTAGTGCGTCTAGACCAGCGTCAACATCATCGATGTCGAATGAACAAGTGCTAGGTAGGTCATGGAACAAAAAAGGAGACGAATGGTCATTAGACAAAGGAGGGACATAGACTGTATTGAAGTAATGGGAAAATAAGTTAGAGACAGACTCTGAACCCGAGCTTTGTAAATTATCAAAATGTACTGAGTGGGGAATTTCGTTGCTAGATTTATTAACTCGGACAAAGTCCCAAAACGACCTGGGGTTAGATTTAAGCATAGACTCAGTGCGAGACAGGTAGACAGTATGACATCTCTTGTATTCAGCCTTATAAGAGGCACGAAGTGCGGAAAATTCCGCATAATCAAGGGGACAGCGTGAAGCTTTAAACTTGGCATGTGCCCTTTTCTTGCTTAAAACAATATGCTTAAGATTTTTTGAAAACCATTTCGGGAATGTCGAAGGTATATAAGACACTTCCGGAACAAAGTTTAAAATGCAAAAGTGCAAGGCGTCATAAATTGCCTTAGCCGCTTCATCAACGTCGAGAGATATTATGGTCTCCAACCAATTAAATGAATTTAAGAATTCGCATATTTTTGAATAGGGAGCACGGCGGAAGTCATAATAATTATGGGAACGATCAAGTAAAGGGGGGAGTATATCCAACTTTATCATGATATCAAGAGCCGGGTGGTAGGGATCACAAGGTACTGCTGGAGTTACGGCTTTAGAGATATAGATTCTGTTATCATTGGAGAACACAAGGTCCAAGACAACACCAAAAGAGTTTTGAATATCATTAAGTTGGAAAAAGTTAAAGAACGCAAATGCATCAGGGATACATTGAACTCTGGGATTAGAAACCGTATTGTAAAGTAAACCAAAATCATCGTTGGACCATATAATATCTGGCAAATTGAAGTCACCACAAAAAATGAATACACATTCTGGATGAAGGAGAAGGACAGATTGTACAGCGGAAATAAAAGACTCATAAGCAGAAAGCGGGCAATTAGGAGGAAAGTACACTGAGCACACTACATAGTTGATGTTATTATAACTAAGTTTAACAAATAGATGTTCAACAGTGGTAGCTGGAGTGTAAATTAAATTAGATACTATGTCACTACGAATGGCAATGAGAGCGCCGCCACCCCTAGAAAAATTACTTGTTAAACTATTTCTATCACATCTATAAATGATGTAGTTGGATAGACCAAGCTCACTATCATAGAAGCTGTCACATAGCCATGTTTCAGTGAAACAGATAAAAACATAATCAAAAACAGCGACATTACATTTTAAATTACTTAGTTTGGTTCTTAACCCGCGGCAATTTTGATAAAAACCTAAGAGAATATGGTTACAAGTACATAAATCACTACATAAACAATAATCCTTACTATTACAATTATAAGAGTGTATATCAACAGGAGGATCACAGATAGGCGTACATGAAGAAATTAGTTTTTTGGAGTGTCGCTTAGAATCATCTCGGGCGTAAGACGACCCCAAAATCGTTTGACCATTACGCCATCAGGCCAGAATGTAGGTTTGAGGACTTCATCAAGCTTCTCCGCAGGCAGGCGCACATGAAATGAAGAATATGATGGGTGTTTTGTCACTAATTTATTTATGGTCACATCTGAGTAGCTATTGAACAATTCAGATTCAAGCATAGTGGTCGTTACACATGGCTCAAGTCTTGAGACAAAGATATCAATATGCCTCCGCACTGGCACTGAAGACAACTTGGAGGATACACTTTTATGAGAGCCAACGATAAATTTTGATTTTATGGACGAGGATAAACTAGCAGTCGATTGGATTGCAGGTACTTTAGACGACTAGGTGATTCTTTAAAAGTTTTCTTTTCATCCTTCTACCACATTGTGGGTCGTGTCTGTGAAAAATTCGCAAGGTTTGCTTCTGCATTCTCTCTACCTACACTAGCCTTCTCCAAATAAAATCTATTGACTAATATTAACTTATAGCCTTTTATTTGAGACTGATAAAGGTAGTAAACTTAAAAAGCTTCTTATACATTGGGAATACTGCAACCTGTCCTCTTGTCTAAAGCTATTATTATAGTAAAAGTAAACAACATTGATGAAAATACTCTCATTGCTACTGGTTGCTCTAACAGTTTAATTAATAAAGAATTTGTTCAAATTCACAAAATAATATCATGTCCAAAAGTGGACAGTTACTTTTGGCAACAACTACCTCCATTCATCAAACTTAATAGGTTATGTTCTTGTTGGTTTACTGTTTTAAGGACACACTTACAAAAATCTCCAACTATCTATACTCCCTAAATTATTCTCAGATATTTTAATAGGTGACGATGTACTAAGAACTAACTCTAGTATTGACCTTACATTTTCGGGACCAAAACCTATATTATCCATTTGTAAAATGAACTTTGTAAATATAAATCCACCCCTATACTCTGGGCGGGGTAGTCGGATTCTCCAGTATAGCGAAGGGCACAGAACATACCAAAACATATACTACTAACAAACAAACATACTTCACGATCATCAGGTAGCTTAGCAGATTTTCACACCTACGTCAACCATTCTGATTGAGCTTCATAAACAAATACACAGTGTGTATAATACAAGGTTCATTTTATAAAACGTTATTTTAATATCGGTTTTAAAATATTAAAAATACTAGACAAGATTTTTTTATAAGCATTTTACGTTTAAACGTTGACAAATTTTATCAAATTTGTATAATAATTTATATAAATTATTTGTACCTAACAACATTTAAACTTTCCCACCGCATTATTGCCTTAATTAATTATTCATTATGGGGACGCCTGATCCACGGGCATTTGGGGTGCTTTCTGGTTGACACTGGAGAAGTTACGAATGATTTCAAACGTATTCACTTTATGGAAGTAGGTAATAACATTTTTAAGATATGGTCCGAATTATAGACTATAACAGAAATTAACATTATAAAAATTTCAAGTTCAAAAGGACATATACTAACATATAATAAATAATGTCGTTTTGGATTGGGATAAATAAGTATTAATAATCCCAGAAAACGTAAGTAATAACGCACTAATTATTCCGCCGAGGAGTAATTGTGTATTACAAATAAAAGCCGACGAAGAAATCAATTACGAAGCAATAATGATAAAGAAATATGAAATTAATGAAGATGTAAGTATAGCTAATAGTATCAGTCCGGTTAAGGGTGATAAAATAATAAGTAATATAATAAATATATCCGAACAACCGTTTATAATCGAACAATTAACCACGAGTAATTTAAAATGGGAACCGTACCACGATAATGTTTTTATTGCTAGCTGAAGCAATAACTACTCTTTAAATAAAACTAAAAAGATCAAAGAAACTATTATACCGAGCATCCTAATCACGAAGAACGCGATAACATATTAGACCCGCGTAGTCGATTTTCTGATCTATTTTTTTTCTCGAAGGCGACCTTTTGAGTGTCATTTTTTACATTTACCATTTGGACTTAGTTCTGCGCCGGCAACTTTTACTCGAGCCATGAAATCTATTTTAATAGGCTTGGAAGAATTATGTACGGCTTACCTAGATGACATTGTAGTCCACGGGTCAAGTTTAGTAGATCATCAGAATAGATTAGAGCAGGTGTTTACGCGATTAAGACTACATAAACTAAAATTGCAACCCAATAAATGTATGTTTCCACGTAAAGAGGTGTTATATTTAGTTCACGTTATCAGCGAAAACGGAGTAACTCCTGATCCAAACAAATTAAATTGTATTAAAGAATATCCGAGACCACTAAACGAGAAAGACGTAAAGTCATTCTTAGGTATATTAAATTATTACCGCCGATTTGTTGATAACTTTGCCAAAATAGCAAAAACACACAGTTCATGTGGATGGACATGTGTGAAGACGTATTCCAAGAATTCAAAATCGCGTTAATGAATCCACCTCTACTTATCTACCCTAATTGGGAAAACGGAAATTTTAACCTCATGACTGATGCAAGCCAATACCCGATTGGAGCGGTCTTGTCTCAATTTGACGTATCTAAAGATCAACCCATAGCTTACGCAAGTAAATCGCTAATACGAAACAAATTATAGCGTAATACAAAAAGAATTGTTAGCGATAGTATGGGCTGTAAAGTATATTAGGCCTTACTTATACGGAAAAAAATTTAAAATAATGACCGATCACTGTCAGTTTTACTAATCCCAAAGTCCTGAGCTTAATATAATCATCAACGATATATTGCATATTCATACCTAAAAAAGCTCTATTTAGTCTAGTAACACCGTCGAGTTTGAGTGAAATGAGTTTAGACCGAACTTCATTGGCTATTTCATATTGTATGAGAAGCGACTCTGCATGTACATGTTTACTAAGATGTAAAAATATAAAATATATGGTTATTGATTACCTATATATTGTGAAAACATAATTAAAAAAATGTCATTATTCATACTTAATCGCGTAAGAGTTGTTTGAAAATTTTTTCTCCTGAAGTCTATTCAAAACATTATCCAGTATTTTACGAAAGCCTGTATATCCTTTAACATGGTGAAATGTCACAAGATCAATACACGCATCTAATATTATCTTTTTATTGAGTTGTACATTAACTTTGGGTACTAAAAAGTTGAATAGTTTAACTTGTGATTCTTTTTTTGTAACTTTTTTTGAACAATTATTTTTTTCCAATTCTTTTGACATATATTCTTCATGCAATAATTATTCATCATGGTGGGACAAAATATGACGTTTTAGATTCGTGCTATGTTTTCCCTATTATAATATAAAAAAAAAAACAATATAAAAATATACTAGAATAATACATATAACATTCTTTACTCTATAGTCTATACCTTCATTATAATGATATATTACTTATTTTGGTTAGCTATTATTATCAAACGAATATCTAGTGGAATTATTTTACCACCGGCAATTTTTTTTGTAGTAACCGACAACCATTAACTATTAATTTGTCACCGAACTAATCTAACGAATTTGTGGTATAGGAGCCTACTATAATCCGTCACATACATAGATATATTATGCTAAAAAATTATTTTTCTATTTTCTATTTTCTTAGTAAGTACTAAGTAGTACATACTTCAAGATTTTTATGTGGAGTGAAAACTTCAAAGAATTTAAATATAAAATCCAACATAACATTTTATATATTATGCATTATGAAATAATTAATAATTAAATTAAATTAAAACTTAAGAATGTATGATGTAAGTTGGGTTCCTAGTATCTAAACTTGGTTGTAAAAAAAATTGTTTATATTATACTATATTATAGCTAAGATATCTAGGTCCTAAAGACATAAACACTTAGTACCTACAACAATTTATTTTATATTACATTTGTTATAATTAAGTGTTAATTCTGTAGGTACTTACTTTTATTTTGCATTCGCAATTTTTGCACGCCGATTCGTTTAAACTTTTATTAAATATAAGATATGAATGAATGGTAAAAATAGTATTAATTTATTTTAATAATAGATAGAGGGAGTATCTTGATCAGATGTGTAATAACAAATAACATTAAGTGTATATTTATGTTCCCACTATAAAATATCTATTGGATCTTAGAACCGAAAATAACCGAAAAAAACAGTAAAAACTTCTACGTGAAAATAAAGGTTTCGGTTACTAAAAGAATGTATTTAAGGGTTCAGTTCCGGTTTCAGTCCCAAGTTTTTCAAAAGGTTTCGGTCTTTAACCGGTCAATTTCTTTACGGTTTCAGTCCTTGGTTCAAAGATGTAACGTGGTTTAAAATTTGACGAGTTATGTTACACGTAATAGGTAGGTTGTTAAGATAGAGACATATATTTTATCTTTTATTTTACCTAATCCATAAAACTTTTATTGCAAGTTAAATAGGCTCATTATTAAAAACCGTTCAATAATAAGTTTATATATTTTAGTCGTATAAACTCTGTATTCATTATAATTATTAGTCCATTAATTTCCCTTCTTTCCTCAGACTTTAAAGTACTAATCATTAAAGGAATTATATCTCCATAATAATTATAATAATTTTCAAACTGTACTCATTATCAATACAATTATATCCTAATCATCATAATAATACTTACATAAATAAAATTATCATTAACACTGTTAAAATTGTACAAACACTTTTAAAAATGTTTTTACAAACATTTTAATTTGGAAAAAAGATATATGCACAGCAATAATAATAATTATTTTTTAAATATTTAAAAATGTATTAACAAATTAAAAAATGGTGGAAAGTGTGTACCAATCTGCTGTACATGTACAGTACATGTTAAATTTGAATTAAATTATATAAATGATTCTGACTATCTTTCATATCTTATGAGACCCATATTATAATACTTGGTAGGTATATTTCATTAAATTCATGCCATTAAAGTAATTTATTGCTTATGGTAAAGTGGTAGGTTGAATTTAATTTTAACATATTATCATTTTTAATATAAGTATTTTAAAAGTTGCAAGTACATAAGAATAATAATTTTAAATTACAAAAAAATAACTAAAATCGTAATTTCCCATTTAAATATCTTATTTTGTCCAAATTTAAACTTAAAATGTATATTTAATTATAAAAATCAAACATTTCATACATTTTTAAATACAATATTATACTCAAATATTAAACATTTTTT